GGCCAAAAGAGGCCAGTATGGCAGCCAAGAGCAGGGGACACAGGGTAGGAGATGAGGCCGGAGGCCTTGGCCTTCTCCAGGGGCCTTCTTCAAGGGTTTCTCTTGGCTTTACCCCAAGTACAGTGGCAAGCTGGTTAGCCAGGGTGTGATGGGGAGGGTAGGTCTGATTTGCACCCCGAAAAAGGTTCTGGTTGAAGGGTTGATTGGTTTTCTGGCAATGAAAGAAACAGAGAAGTGATGAACCTGAGAATTTTGGCTCTAAGTCACCCTGGGATCGGCCTGGATCCAGAGATTGGCTGATTGGGCAGGGGTGGGGCAGGAAAAAGGTCCCGAACCCTTGATCAAGGTGGCACTGCTCTAAAGGGTGGACCTGGCCCTGGAGCTCCCTGTGAGATGACCGAGATCTTAGAACTGACATAAAAATAATTTCTCATGGACCAGCAGTTGGCATAATGGCTATGTTGCTGGACTCCCATGTAGTCGACCACGGTTCGAGTCCCGGACCCGGTGGCTTAAACTCATGCTGGGTGCATGTGCATGCGTGCCCAAGATCCTGAGAGGAGTATGTAGTAGAAGGGATTGTGGCGTGGCCATCCCCCCCGGGGGTGATTTCTCACGTTTTGTCTCTGTCTCACTGGTGAATGCACCTGCCCTATGGCAAAAAGTACCTCTCAAAAAAATGTATATATATAATAATTTCTCACTCTCCGTGGGATCTGTACAGGGTTTCAGGGAAGAGTGGATGGGGCCCTGATCCCACCTGTGGGAAGGATCCCTTCCCACCCCAGGTAGGGGTCCCGGTCCTCCCTTCTCACATCCTGGCCTCCACAGGAAGGGTGGGCAGCGTGTGTGGGGGCTGGGGTTGCGCAGGGAGGCTGGCCCCATGTCCCACTTACTTGCCCTGTGACCTTGGACAGATCCCTTTCTTTCTCTGGGCCCAAGTTTCTCTCTGGTAAGAGAGAAAGTAATGATCAGTGACTCTTAACTTTGAGGCCCGCTTACAGTCTCATTGAGGGCTTGTTGAGAGCCAGGACCATCGTGAACCTCATTTCTAGACTCCCGAAGTCCTGGAGTGGGACAGAGTAATGGGCTTAAAGAGGGCCTCGTTTAAGCATCTTTGGATGAGGCCTTCATAAGCCCATTGCTGACGGCCTGCTCACCACAATCTCCAAGGTGATCAGAACTTCTCCCACTTGGACTCAGAAACGGCTCTAAGCGACTTACTCAAGCTGAGAAGGGCTGAACTAGCCCAAGCAGGTCTTCCTGAAGCCAAAGACTGTCCTTTCTGCTCCAATGAGTGATGCGACTCCTCCTAGCTTTCCCTCACCCCACCACGCCCCCACATGACGACATGGTAGACCTTGTTACCTCTGCCCTCATGGAGCAGGACTGACCTCATGGAGTGGGACGGATCGGAGCCCCAGGCAGGCCAAGTGGCTTGCAAGGTCACGTAGCAAGTGAGCTGTCCAGCTGAAAGGTGTAATGGCTATGTTGCTGGACTCCCACATAGTCGACCACAGTTCGCATCTTGGATCTGGTAGCTTGAAACTCATGCTGGGTGCATGTCCAAGATCCCAAGAGGAGACTGGAGGAGAAAGGATTGCTGTGAGGCCACCTTCTCTCACCCCTGCCCGGGGGAGATGACTTCTCGCTTTCTGTCTCTGTCTCTCCAGTGAGCACACGTGCTTGATAGTAAAAATCTTTCTGAAAGAAAATATTAAAAATTTGCTAGAGGACATGTGAGCTAGCTGAAGAGAGACAGTGATCGAGAGAGAGAGAGAGAGAGAGAGAGAGAGAGAAGTGAGAGAGAAGCACCTTTTGGGGAGATGGCTCCACTCCTCCATTCTCCTTTTGGGATTGTGAGCACACACGTACAGCATGTTTTCAAGTTGCTGGGTCTGGGACTCGACCCATTCAGTTGGCCATGTGGGATCCAGCCACCCCAACCACCCTGCCACTTGCTGGCCCTTCTAAAGGGGTTCCTACTGTTAATTTCAGCAATACAAGTTTATTGTTGCTCTCCCTTTTCTTTTGCCCCCTCAGCCTCCTTTTTTTCCCCTTTCCTGCCTGGCCCTGGGGTATCCTCATCATCTTCCCTTTATTCAGTCTTCCTGCTTCTCCTAGGAGCTAGCCTGTGTGAGGCACAGAGCTGATGTGGACCGTCACCCCTCCCCTTCTGAGGAGAAGTGGCCTGAGTAAGGCACGCATGGCCCTTCCCTGGTACCCACTGGGGAGCCCGGTGCCACCATCATCTTCTCCACCTGTCCTTTCTCATGTTGAAGACACTTGTCAGACACTTGTTAAAGATGGAAGACTTCATTCGAGAAGGGGACTACTGCAGGCCAACAGAGGGTCAAGGTGGTGGGGTACCACATGGCAAAGACTGTGCAGTTCGAGTCCTGACCCTGCTGCTTGACAAACACACCAGGGGCATGTGCATGTATGCCCCAAATCCCGAGAGAATGGAGAAGGAATCATGGCGTGGTCATCTTCCTGGAGAGGGGGGAGGAAGCTTTCTATCTCTTTTTCTCTAGTCTTTGGCAAGCACAGGGGCCCTATAGCAAGAAAAATGTAAAAAGAAACATGAAAGGGATGGGGACTACTGCAGTGGAGGTTTTGCTGCAGGGGAGAAGGCCTGGGCTCAACTCTGATGACAACCAGAGAAAAGGAGGAATTCACAGTGGAGGGGCAGCTGGGGAGTGGGGAGAGTGGATGGAAAATTACTAAGTGACCTTCAAGGTTGGGTGGGAGGGTCTGGCTAAGCTGATGTGACAGGATCCTTACTGCAGGCAATCCAGGGTGATTGATACCAGGGTGGCGGGTCTGCCCCCAAGGACAGAGCCCAGGGTGGGGGCCTAGTCATGAGGACCCCCTGGAGGCTGATCAAGTTTGGCCAACTAGACGCCAGGCTCCAACAGCTGGGTTCTTCCATTGCTCCCGGCCTCAATCCAAGTTCTTCCGCCTACTCGGGTTTGTCAAAATGGTCTGTATTTTTCAAGGCCAGCCTGAATGTCTCCTCTGAAAAGTTCTGGAGCTTTCCCTCCACAGGAATCCATTTTTCCTGTCCAGGCCTGGGGAAAGGTGTCTATCCTCCTCAAACCCTTTCAGATTGAGCCATACTTCCCAGGGTATGGACAGGGCCCGGAGACCTCACGACTCCAAGGGGCTGAGGGTGGCACCCACCTGTACCCCACAAAGCGAAGGGTCTCCAGGGACGCTCCTCTTTCGTTCTTGGGATTCTAGTCCCCACCACATTGCCTCCTACCGTGGAAGAGGACCCAGAGTGTGAGATGGGGGGTCATAGTGCTGAACCTGCTATGGCTCCTGGGGGTTCACAGTTTTCCCCAGGCCGGTTCTTGGGCTGGCACTGCTTCCTCCAGGGCAGAGAGCTGATCTCATTGAGTGACAGCCCTCGGCTGCAGTTCCAGCGAATTGCCTTGGTGGGGCCGGATACTGCTTGGGCAGAGATGCCTCCGAGGAACCAAACTCGGTGGCTCGGTCATGGCCAAAGGACAGGCGGAAAATGCCCACCCTTCGACTCCCTCCCCTCGCCCTTCTGAAAAGTTAAACCATTTAACAAGGGCCCCCCAAAACGCAGCCCTGCGCCCGGTGCCCCTGGCACACACAAACCCCACACCTCCGGGGGCCGGCGTGGCGCCTTTAAGAAGCGGCGGGCGGCGCTGCC